CATTCCACTATCCTATCAGTACCTGATGATGACCTATGGTCGAAAGTACTTGTACAATAAATATTATATATTTATACAGAACTTTGTTTGACTTCTTATTTTATATATACAAATCTGTCTATGCATATATATATATATATATATATATATATATATATATATATTATAGTAATAAAACACATAAAGCAAAAGTGTAGAGTAGCCTTAACTTTTAATGGTAAAAACACAAACATTTTCGGGCATCGCCCTTCATCAGGTGGTCATCAATCAGTAGATGCCTAAAAACATTATATGAAGAATGTATTTTTAGGCTGGAATAGTGAAGTATGTATTTCTAGAGGGCTTCAAAGGGCTTCCCTATTGCTCACTATTTCAAATTAAAGAGCCATACTATCAGTGATTTAGGCTAGTTAATCTTAGGCACCAATTTCAGATCTACTAAGGCTAGAAGATGTCCCAGGGGTATCCGCCCAGTCCTCTAGCCTTAGTACAGTAGTAGATTTGAAATTGGTGCCTATGATTATAAAGAATAAATCACCGATAGTATGGCTCGGTTAAAGTGGTGAGCAACAGGAAGCCCTTGTGATGGTTTTAACTATTTTTTTGTGGTTGTTTAGTCTGAGTTCACATTAGATTTCGCCTACATAATTGCTGTTTATTACATTTTATTTCAAAAAGTAGCGTGCTGCGCTTTTGTACGACGATGACGAAAAAATTCAAATTCGGTAAACCGGGTTTCGGCAAACTGGGATTTTATGTTTTCAGTGAACTGGATTCAGCAAACTGGGTTTTTGGCAAAGTGGGCTAAATTCGGCAAACCGGATTTCGACAAACTGGATTTCGACCAAGTGGGAGGATACCTTTATAATACAGTATCAGTAATACACTGCTGTACAGTAATAATTCTGTAGATTTGAAATGTGTGTAAGAATAAGAACAAAATGATGTCCAAAGAAAAGCATGAAGAGAGCATGACTTAGAAATCAGGGTTCAGGCTATCATTCAAATCCTGGATGAATGCATATTTTTTATGAAACAAAGAACAATCATTCCATAAGTAAAGGGCAAATTTTGACAAAACTGGAAAGTATTTAGACAGTTATACTGATAGTCCTCCTCTTAACAAAATGATGTCCAAAGAAAAGCATGAAGAGAGCATGACTTAGAAATCAGGGTTCAGGCTATCATTCAAATCCTGGATGAATGCACATTTTTTATGAAACAAAGAACAATCATTCCATAAGTAAAGGGCAAATTTTGACAAAACTGGAAAGTATTTAGACAATTATACTGATAGTCCTCCTCTTAATTGGGTGTTCCCTTAATTGGAGTTGGTGCAGTGTCCCCTGAGTGTAGGGTTGCCGCAAAAGAGGGATTTTAATATACTGTACTCACATTCAGGGCCGCCGAGAGCGGCCGCGGGCCATATGCGCTGCCTGGGCCCGTTGGCTGGGGGGTCCCAGCGGGATCGAGGGGCAGATCCGTGGTGGCTCCCGCACCCACCAGAAGGTAAGGCCTTTTAACGGATTAGAGGACTAATTTAATCAATCATAGAGTGCATAATTTCAACAGGTCATGAAAAAAAGTATAGAAACATGAAAAGTATAAAAGCTATCCTTCCTTTATACAAATGAGCTGAAAAGATTCATAACATAGGTATCAAAGTTTACAGTGGCAGATCCAAGAATTTGTAATAGAGGTAACCAAGAGAAGGGCTTTCACAGATGGACGGTTTATCTACCTCAGCCCCAACATGCTAAAGAAAACTTATGATTATGGCACTTCTGTACATCCGGAAATGTCATTCTTAGACTTAAAGTTGAGTAGAATTTTCTTTTTTTTCTCAATTTGTGTTAAATTTTTAAAAGTTTAGGGTAGTGGGGGCCAGGCCTCCCCTAAAATTAAGTGCATTAACCGGCATTAAATCACCTAAACTACTGTAGGCCTATAAACCAGCGTTTTTAATTTATTTTGTTTCTTTGAAATGTGTATGTACTGTATACAGTGTATGTACTGCTCCATCTCAAAAAGAAGCCTATACTATCTTAAAAAGAAGCCCATGGGCTTATTTTCGAGATGGGCTTCTTTTTGAGACTAGTTTTGGAAACTAAAGAGGGCTCCAATTCGAGATGGTCTTCTTCTCGAGATTAGGCACATTGGGCTTCAATTCGAGGTTTTACTGTATATTATCCTTTACTAGCGCAGGAACTGATTTTACATCAATATCTGGAAAGGTCATTACCCACCAGTCTAAGCATGCCCTCTTTCATTAACATTTCATTAACAATACTGCCTTGACTACAATGACTCATGTCAATATCCTGTTTGGGACCCCCAAAAGGCTAAAAAATATCGACATTTCAGCATACAAAATATTTATTGACAATCACAAAATACCTTCTGTTCAATCTGCAAAATTTTTTAGACAGTGGACTCGCATGGAAAGTTCACATAAGTGAAGTTGAGAGTAAAATTTCCAAAAGCCTTGGCATCATTTCTAGACTCTCTTCCTATTCCCTGTATGTTCTTTGTATTCTCTACTGCTCTCTCATTCTTCCTTACTTGAACTACTGCAACATTGTTTGGGGCAATACATATCCATCTAACATCAACAAACTTCAAATTCTTAAAAAAAAAAGGCTATCAGGATCATATCTGGCTCTCCCCCACAATCTCATTCTTCCCATCTGTTTTCCAACCTAAATTTTCTAAAATTATACGATATTAATTTAATCCAGCAAAGTATATTTGTATACTCCGCCATGCATTCGATCCTTCCCAAGCATTTAAGTAACATGATTATGTATAATTCCTCTTTTCACAATTATTATACGCGTTCTAGAACTGATATTCACATCCCTTATCACAACACAAACTATTTCCAACATAACATTAGATATACGGGCCCCTCTATTTGGAACAACCTACCATTCTCAATTACCAATGCTGTTTCTGCCAGAGCCTTTTCTAATAAACTGAAAAAACACTTAATCTCAAATTATTAAACTTTCTGAGGTTGAAATTCGTCGTGCTGTTTTGTTTTGAGCTGCTTTCTCTTCTTTTTTTCTATATATATTTATATTTTTTTATTTATTCATTTATTTAATTTATTATTTATTTTTTTTATTTTTTTTCAGGCCTGCCCATCACAAGATGTTTGTTTTTGCAAACAACTTCTTGGGTCCTGGCCTTCTTCCAATATTTGTATTTTGTGTTTGTAATTTTGTATTTTTAAGTGCCTTTGGAAGAAAATAAATGTTTTGTTGAATTGAATTGAATATAGATCAAGTCTGGAGAGATTTCAACAAGGCAAGCTAATGTATTACCACAAATTGAAGATGCGTTAATATCACTCAAATCTATCCTTACCAATTGAATGTCATATTTTCACCTACTGAATCAACCAGCTTTTCAAGGTTATCAAATAATTACTCCAACTGAACCACCATCATAATTAGGGTGATAAAACCCCAAGAAGTGACTTACCATCAATATCTGAAAGGTCATTGCCCTCCAATTTAAGCAAGCCATCTTTCAATACTACATTCATCCTACCACATTCCTCAATCATTTCAGTAATAATACTGCCTGATAAACTGCAATGTCTCATATCAATACGGATCAGGTCTGGAGAGATCTTAATAAGGCAAGCTAATGTTTTACCACTGATCGAAGACAGGTTAATATTACTTAAAACTATCGAATGCCAAGTCAATGTTTTATTTACAACACTTACTGATTCAATCAGATTTTGTAGGTTATCAGCTGTAAGAGAATGAATACGCCAATTGAAAGCACCTTTAAAATCAAAGACGGAATCTTCGACATATGCCCTGATTAACTCTGCAAGTGACTTAACATCAATATCTGAAAGGTCATTGTACTCTAGTTGAAGCGAGTTGTCTTTCAATACTACATTCATCCTACCACATTCCTCCATCATTTCATTAACAATACTGCCTGATAAACTGCAAAGTCTCATGTTAATATGGATCAGGTCTGGAGAGATCTTAATAAGGCAAGCTAATGTTTTACCACTGATCGAAGACAGGTTAATATGACATAAAACTATCGAATGCCAAGTCAACGTTTTATTTACAACACTTACTGATTCAATCAGATTTTGTAGGTTATCAGCTGTAAGAGAATAATTACGCCAAATGAAAGCACCTTTAAAATCAAAGACGGAATCTTCGACATATGCCCTGATTAACTCTGCAAGTGACTTACCATCAATATCTGAAAGGTCATTGCCCTCCAGTTGAAGCAAGTTGTCTTTCAATACTACATTCATCCTGTCACATTCCTCCATCATTTCATTAACAATACTGCCTGATAAACTGCAATGTCTCATGTCAATATGGATCAGGTCTGGAGAGATGTTAATAAGGCAAGCTAATGTTTTACCACTGATCGAAGACAGGTTAATATGACATAAAACTATCGAATGCCAATTCAATGTTTTATTTACAACACTTACTGATTCAATCAGATTTTGTAGGTTATCAGCTGTAAGAGAATAATCACTCCATTTGAAAAAAGCTTTGTTTATCTCTGCAAGTGACTTACCATCAATATCTGAAAGGTCATTGCCCTTCAGTTGAAGCAAGTTGTCTTTCAATACTACATTCATCCTACCACATTCCTCCATCATTTCATTAACAATACTGCCTGATAAACTGCAATGACTCATGTTAAAATAACAAAGTTTGGGAAGCATTTTCAATAAGGTTCCAAACGTTTTTCCATCTAAATTTCCTAAATAATTTCGGCTGAAATCTAGTTTACGTAATTCAATTTCATGAAACCCATTGATCATTTTATTAAAACTTGCCTTTGATAGCCCACATGAAGCTATAGAAAGACCAGATATATTAGGATACCCTTTAAGTAAATTGCCCAATAATGCATTATCAATGTTATTATTGTTAATAATAAGATTGCATCCACCTAAAGAAATTCCACTGTTTTGACATTCAGTAATCATTGCCTTCACAATATCACCTGATAAACTACAACCGCTTATATTTAGCACATTTATTTCAGGAGCTATTTCAAATAGTTTTCCTAGTAATGTTCCATCGATATTATGTAGATCATTGCCCATAATATCAAGTTCTGTTAACTTCAACTTTACATTAGTTTTGTGTAACTCAATGATAACTACACTGAGTACAGACTCAGCAAGCTTACCCGAAGTGATACGTAATTTAGAGAGGTTATTTGAATGTGTCAGCAAATGAATCAAGAATGATGAATTAAATACATGGGTTAAACAGAAACTAGTGTAACCATAGTTGAATTTGAGGTATTTCATCTCAGCAGAAAGGAAATTATGGTTTTCACTTGTCCAATTTGATATATATTCAAATAAAGGGTATTCAATACTGAACCTGAAGCTGGAGTTTCCTAAATTTTGTCCTCCTACAATAACTAAGATATGTACAAAACTTCTGCATGATGATCTGAAAGTTTCTTCACTAGATGCATCTAACAGCGATATACATTTCTCCACAAGTTTTTCTGATCTTCCCTCATATATAGTGCAACATATGTTTAAAAGTTTATATAAATGCTCACTTACTACGCTTTTATCATCCTTAAGGACACTTCTGTATGTCTCACGCATTTGCTTACAGCAGGATTTCATTTCAGTGGACATGTTTTTATCCAATTCCTGTAGCACAGCTTCTTCATTTTCCTCCTTTATATGTGTGAAACCCTGTGCTATTGAGTAAAAATGTGAAGCCCTGATTACTAACCAATGTTTAAGCAATCCACCAGCTTTAGCACCTAGAAATCCTATTGTAAACACTCTTGTCATATTTAAATATTTATTAGATCTTATCACCTCATATTCATCAGATTTCAAATATTCTTTCTCAATTTGATTCGACAAATAAAAACCTGCTAATGCCTCTGAAATTAATTTGTGTGGAGGTGTGTACATCTCTCTTACATCACCAGGGTTAAAAGGGCTATCTTCATAAACAAATCCAATTTTCAATGCTAAATCTACAGAATCTATATTTTTTGTCATATTTGATAAAACATGTTTGTCAATAGACAATTTATTTTCCTTTAGGCCTTCATACATACATTCTCCTAATAGTAGAATGGCAAGTCTATACTGCTCTGGAACACTATTAATTTGGGAAATTGCAATTTTATCATCCCTCTTGCATTTATATTGACTTAAAATGCAACAAATCAGTTGAATGAAAAGAACTGACAAGTCTTTTGGAAGATGTTGATTTTGTTCCCATATGGTACAAATCATAAGCAATAACAGTGGGGATGAGCACAATTCAAATGCCTCTTTATGATCACCACCCCAGTAAAGTTCATGCTGTGACACAAGATTGAACTCCTTCATTAATAATTCCCCCAACTCACATTTGTTGATTGAATGAAAATGATCATGAATATACTTCTTTATGTTTCTTCTACTGAACCCCTTCACTTCAATATGTACAGTACAACATTTAATCAAATCAATTGTGTAGTCAGGTCGGGATGTTATCACCACAGTGCTTTTTTCTAATTCACATCCTTTGAACAGATATACAGGGTCCTTAGCATCTCTGTGTAACTCATCATATCCATCTAACAAAATAACTATATCATCAGCATTATTGATCAGAAATCTTTCAACTGAGTTAGTTGGCAAGTTGTGCTGAAGAATTAATTCATTTGTAACTATGTTTTTTAGAATTAATTCCAACATATCTGTACTTGTTTTAATGTCCCCAACACTGATCAGAAACAGTAATTTACCGGCAAAGGCATGTAATTTATCAGTAGCCCATTTATAAGTAATATATTTCAGAAGTGTAGTCTTGCCCATCCCTCCTCCTCCTGTTATTAATACCTTACATGAATCTTTTGATTTAATGATACCTAATACCTCTGTTAAAGATGTGGGTCTACCTTCCTTTCTTATACATGTTGATTTGAATTCATCTGGTTCTTCTTTGTCTTTCCTGTTGGATTCCAGTAAGATGAGTTGTGTGAATACTTCAGCAATATCTACTCTATGATGTCTATGCCAGATTGCTGGTGTCATTTGATTAACATCCTGATACAATTGCTTCAGCTTTCTTGTCAGAAATTCTTTGATAATTAAATCTGGAAACCAGTAAAAAAAAACATATTTCTGCAATTATCTATCTCATACAGAAATATTTTAAGACTTAAGTTATGTAGTAACAAACATCTATTTTAAATTACACTTATTGTGTTGTATTGTATTAATTAATATTTAATCCTTTTTTTATGCACAACCACATATTTAATGTTTTCTAAAACACAGAAATCAGAATTTTTAACAATTTCAGGTTTTTCCAGTTTATGAAAGAAGATATATTGAAAAACATAAATAAGGAATAAATATAAGCTGTTTTGAGTTGCACTAACGTTTTAGTTATTCTTGTTTTTCTTTATGACATGCAGCATCAAACTTAAAATAACTACTTCTTAGTTTTTTTTTTATCTTATTAATCTACTTTTTTATTTATGCTACTGTTCATACTTAATTTGATGTTGTCTTGTAATCAAATGTGTAAGTGTTCTGCTGCTGAAAAAGTGGGTCCAAATAAATATTATTCATTATTATTATTCAACAGAGAGTGAAAAAGAAGGGACACATTACAAACAAAGACTAGGCATACAGAGTGCCAGTCGTTGGCCAAGTCGATTCCATAGAAAATGCAACGCAACAAAGCATGAGCAACTGTTCGTTTTTACTAATCCACTAAGGCTGCCACTAACAATCAGGAGAGAATGTCACATAATCAAGCGATTACTGTGAGAAGAAAGGTACTCATCAGTCGTCGCACTGTGTGTCTGGGTTTAGTCTCATTGGCTCAAATTGTGAATTGTTTAAGTAATGTTAGATGAGAGTTAACAAGTAAACATTTTGATAAATATTGCAAACTATAATTAATGCTAGGAAAGAACACAATGACATTTATAGCACTTTTGCATTAAAAAAATATTATCTCTATTTCTTGATACCAATGATTTTATTTTTTGTTTTATTTATTTATCTGTACGGCAATTCTAATTTAGGATCTTGTTGTACTACTGTAACTTTTGTTATTGTATTTTCTTTTCTTGTCTTCTGAGTAACTAGGTGACCTGTATAAACTTTTGTTTTATTATAAAGTATTTTATTTACTTGTATCTCATTTAATTAGGTCTATATACTGTAATTACGAACATCGAGTGTTCAAATGATGCAAAAGTGAATCCAATAAATGTTGTTTTGTATTGTAGAGCTAACTGTTGACTGGAGAAGCAATATCTTAAATTTTAAAATATGCTTTCATGTATAATGGATAATCCTTATAGAAAATGTAGTTAAGTCAAGTCAGAATTTTTTTTTAAATTATCACTCAAACTGACTGTTGCAGAACTGCAACTACAATTGAAAACATAGTACATGTTTCTAGAATTACAACAATAATTTTAATGTTTGGATTTCAAATGGATTAAAAGCACAAGACAGGACTTTCTACAAAGAATTCTACAGAGTAAGCATAGCCTATTAATGTTTTAGTACTTGGTACTTGATAACTGCCATCCAATGTTAAGGGTATGGATGTAGTTATGGTGGGTGGAAGTGGGCTGAGCCACCCTGCCTTAAAGTTTTTCACCCTGTCTAAAGCTAATTTCATGGCCTTCGACCCACCCTTATTAACCCACTTTTCCATCCTTAAAATCAACTCTTATTATTTAGAGTTTACCAATGTTATCACCCACCCACCCTTAAAATGTCTATCACCCACCCTTAGGTTTCTACAGCTACAACCCTGTAAGGGACAACAATTTCTCAACACTGTTTGCGTTGCACCAGTGTAAAATCCCTAAGCGTTGGGTATTAACAACTCAACCCTACTTAATGTCGCAATGCACCAATATTTCCTGCGCTAATTGAAACCAGGGCTATTAACATTCCTTTGCATTCTTAGTTAAAAGTTAAAAACAAATTTTAGAGTCAACAATTAACAAACATTTAAAACCATTACATTGTATTCTATTATTTGTGTGAGGGTGTAGTTTGTACATGCAAATCTGTTTAACTAATTATAGATAAGCTATGTTATAGCACTACCATGATATCCTTCCACCACAGAACTAGTGCAAGCTATATTTGCTGTACAGTAAACTCGATTTATTGTTTCATTTATGAAAATATTGATTATACTTAATTATTAATTATTTAGATTTATAACGTTAATTTTTACGCTGAGCGGATTAATTCCTCTTGCGAACTGCGTTGGAGAATGCTAGGGTTTGGTATGCTTGCCCTCTTTCTCTCTCTCTGGACCAGTTAAACTGTCAAGACGTGATATGTTAATTGTCTGATGTTCATTGCTTTAAATAGTGTTATTTTCATCGTTTAACCTTTGTAGAGAGCATTGCTTGTAATGCAGATGTAAACTGTCTTGTTCCTGTCTCGTTGTGGCAATAGCTGCAGTGTTCTGTTGGGTTTCACCTTCTTTTATGGTGGTGAAGCATTGATTTGATGTTAGATTTATAAATAAACACAATCGTGACAATAATTGGATTTCTGTGTCCGGGTGCCTTACATGCGTTTTATGAGTTTGCTCTCCCACTCTCTATTTCGTACTCAATACCAACGGACACGTTCCGAAGGTCACATTTGCATATTGTTATTTTTTTTATACTCCAGAGGTTTGGTATTAGCAGCACCATTGAACCAGAGTAATTTGGCTTATTCCACTTAAATGAAATGAAATCAGGCAAAAATAATTTCATATACATACCTTGCTTACTTGGGCAATCTAAGTTTTGCCTTGCTGATACTTGTGATCCAACTTCATCACCTAGATATAGAAAGTGAAAATTGTTTCAGATTTTCTATAATATTAAAACAAAATTGTTCATTCTATTGCCCAACCTGTTGCAAAAAACCACAAAATTTGTACAGCAATTAAGTTTGCTTTTGTTTAATCCCGTCTCTGTCAAGGGTGTTTTGTTTTCTATATATTTTTGTTGTACATGTTTTAAAAATTGGATGAAATAAATAAAATAAATGAATGAAATATTGCCCAATTAAGTGAAAGAAACAATTACGAATATCAAGTAAATTTATAAAAAATAATTACACCAAATAACAATTTTTAAAGAGTTGTGCTATAGTACTGTTAGTTGTACAACAGCAAAGGTTGCACTCATGTTCACATTTTTTGTATTGTCACATGAATTATTATAAATTATATAAAATGCAACCAAAAATAAACTTATATTTTCTAGAACCTCCCAAATTAATTGAATAAGTTTCAATTATTAACACAAAGAGAAATATAATGAAGAGTCAGGCTCCGGAGGAAAACAATTTTTTGATATGCTGTAGAAATGATTTTTCTAAGACAAAAAAAAGTTGTTTGACGAAAAACTGGGGAACGGTGAATGAGATACAGATTTTTTAATATTTAAAAACTGGGGGAAAAAGGGGCGTAACTGCCCTTTTTTACACCTTAGGTGTACCTGTATGTATGTGGGCATAGTATGTATATGTGGGCATGTATGTTTGTGTGGGCTTGTATGCATGTGTGTGTATGTGGGTGTGGTGCCCCTGTGCTACTACAGTATCCCTTACCTAAGCTTATATAGTGTAGCTCTCCAATTTGACCAAATAACATTACACCATCTGGGTTTGAACTTTCTTGGATTTTTGTGACCAAGTGGCCCTGCTCTGTGCTTTTTCTTTGACTGGTCACTATTTGAAAGTTGTGATTTAATATTCGTGATATCCCTCTTATGGCTGTTTCGTCAACAAAAGTACCATCTTTACTCAATTCATCTAGATATTTGTCATCTGTAAGGGCGATCAATGGATCTTCTTTATCCTGGAAAAAATTTAGAAATTGCTAAATGCAATAAAACACAATGTATCAAACAACACTTGGATAATACCATGCAAGTATAATGATAATACTATGGAATAATCTACACAATTACCAAATGTCGCAAGTAGTCCACTAAATCAGCCCTGAGTTGTGCACTAGATCGATTTGGTAAACCCAGCCTCTCAAATTGATCTTGGATGCAGTATAAGAAACAGTTCCCATCACCACTAACATCCTTTCTTATATGCATGTTTGACTGTCTAATATTCTCTTTCAAACGGTTGTAGTAAGATGTGTATGTTTCATGCTCTTGCTTACTGACTGCTCTCTTGTACACTGAGAAAAAAACGCACACGGAAAATTATGACACTACAATTAATTGAACAATATGACAATGACAACTTCAGAATTAAACCTACCTGAGCATACACTTGCACAGTGCTGGCTCTAAATGTTGGATGAAATGATAGATAAAATATAAAGAGGGTTCCTAAATTGAGCATGATTAAAAAAGTAGACCATTACTGCAGAATGAAATATGAAATATTAGTCATCATACTGTAATCTTGCAGGTAAAACACAAGAGGCAAAAACTAAATTTTAAAATTAGTCTTGTGTAGTGTATATAAAACCGTGTAAAATAAAAAATTGGTAAACCTCTCTTTAACAAACATAGCTCTGTACCTTCCAGTTCCAGTAAAGCTTTCAGAGCTTTGTCACTTGGTAATCCTTCAATGAAATCATCAATTTTTTCTTCACAAAGCTCATTCCTTTGCTCTAGATCTAGAATCAAATGCCAGCTATCTTTATACTTCTTTAACAACGGTATGTTATATCGGACATCAAGCGCTACTATATCAGCTTTAGTCAGTGCCATTCCTAGCTTCAACAGGAATTGTCTGTACCATGACAATTTAGACACTTCATGTTCTTCAATTCTTTGTAAAGTTGGAAGTACAATACTGGATTTGAAGCCAAGATGTCCGGTAACTTTGATTGTGTCATACAGGATAGTGAGATTTGTTTGACTCAAATTCCCAGAACAAATTAAAATACTTAGCAAGGACATTACATCAGTAGCCTTACTTAAATCAGAGTCAATTGGCACATGTTTTCTGTTGTTGTACAAAACTTTCAGCATATTGATGTATTCAAGTCCATCATACCAACTTGAAAAATCCACCAATAGCTGGCTGAAATCTCTTTTTGAAAGTCCTATGATACAAGCGAAAATAAATTGACTATCATCAATAATAGAAATATACAATTCAGGAAAATTTTAATCTACAATGAAAAATGTGTATTTGATAAACATCATCATTAATCATCCATTATAGTTATTAAAATCATCATTATAGAAGTGAAAAATAGACAGCAAAGAAGATAAAAACTAAATTGAAGATTAAACAATGGAATTAATCAATACATGTTTAGAATCCTGAACAAATTCTAATTTATTTTAAAATTATTGCATTAAAGATTTTTTGTGGAAGAAAGTGTATAACAAGCCAAAAAGTCTACAGAGTAAACTTAATGTGTATAATTCAGTTTGTTTAGATGAAGTACACCAACATTGAATAAAGATGAAAATATCCAGGTTTTGTTAGTTTAATTAATTAGTCATTTTTAAGTAACCTACCGTAATCATGGGCGATTTTTCCTACATTTGTGTTGTTTTATATCATTAAATAATATGTTAATTTGGGAAGATAAAATAGACAAGACAGTCACTTTAACTATATACACTTTGAAATTCACTGTAAATATTTATTTACTTTTATACCTTCCAAGAGGCAATATAGGATGTGCATGTACAGTACATACAGGTAAGATTATTACCAATGATCAGGGCAATGTGAAGTCCTTTGAAAGAGTTGCACACAACAATGCCAACAACAATTACTTTATAAACAGTATTTTACCTGTTTCCTCCATTCTTCCTTTGTGATCTACTTCTCACAGCAATTTATACAATAATTCACTCAAACTGTTGGGATGCACAAGCTTTCACACTAAAACAGATTCAATAGAAATGAAGATGTTCTTAATATTCTTTATATACCCGTATTACCATCATTTTAATAAAATATTTAAATATTTACTGTGTTTCACCAATGTTTTTACTTTTTAGTCAAAGCAGTTTATTTAAAAACCATCAGAGTAAAATACTAATACATTTAAAGATGTACTATTAGTCAAAAGAATAATAAATAATAAATCAAAAATTCAAATAATTTGTTTTGTTTTTACCAATTTAGATATTTTACAACAAAATGCTTATACTGTACTGAATACCAGATATCATGTGACACCATTTCATTTACTAAATTTCATTATTACAACTCGTGTATTAAAACCACTGATTCTTTAACAACCCATGGAAGTCTCAACATCTGTTTTAAAAAGTCAAAATACTGAAAGTTCTTTGAAGGCAGTAGAATAATATCCAATATTTTTTTTAAATATCTGAATATTTAGAATATCGATAACATAAACAAATTACAAACCAGCTAAAGTGGGCTGCATAGTCAATTCTTGATTACTACTCAGTTGCCCCTTACATTGGCAAGAGCATTACAATCTTTAAAATTCTACTTACCAGGTAAGTTTTTTTAATACCAAAATGTCCCCCCCCCCCCAACACTCTTGATGTCAGTTGCCTTTCTCTTCAGCTCTTAGATGAATTGTATCATCACATCTTGGCTCACTTTTTGTGTTACTGGTAAGGTTTATACCTGTAAAGCCATAAATATTTTATTTATCATCTTTTCTTTCTTGGCTAACAAAATCAATAAGCAATGAAATTAAATCGTAAATAATTTTAACATATATGATTTTATATCAGTTTACTTTCCTTTGACCTAATTTTATTATAGTGTCTTGACTAGCAACTCTTACTTGACTTACTCTTACTTGTACGATGGGAAAAGAATAGTTTATTTACCTCAATATTTTCATTCAATCAATATTGATTGAAATAGATGTAATACAATGCAAGTTAATCCAAATATCATAGGCTAAAAAAGCAGTCTAAAGTTACCAAACATGCTTACAATATATTTTCTGTGATAAATTTTATTATAGAATTATCCTATTTTATTACAGTATCGAATGTACTCAATCATTGCAGTTTTTCTGTATTAATACAGTACTTTTATGGTTTTCGCTGAACCCACCACAAATGTACTGTACCTACTGCCTACTGTATATCAGGGTTGCCATTTGGCCTTTTTGACGGCCAGATTCCTCAAATCTGGCCGTATAAAAATTTGCCAGGCCGTAACGTTTGAAAAGTCACGGCCAAACTATATTTGGCCGAATTTTTGAATTTACATTTTTTTTTCAATACAGGCCTAATATAACAGACTTGTTTTGGATGTGTTGTTTTTGTTAGCTTAAATTTTATATTTGATTCTAATCACAGTGGCGAATCCAGGGGGTTCGGCGGGAGGGGGGTTTGTCCTCCTCTGTGAAGAAACGTAACAAAATAGTATGGGTCCTGGCTTACAAATTTCATGCTAACTACAGACCTTCGCCCACTTCGCCCAAGCGAAGGTCAGGGTGAGAATTCAAAATAAAATGTTGACCATTTTTTCCAACAATCATACTTACTTTCCTTGACACTTATTTTGAACATTACCATTAGAAAAATGTTAAAAAAATCCACACTATCCTATACCTTACACTTTTAAACTGATTGTACTGTAGGCCCTACCAGAGAGAGAGGTACATTCCCAATACATTATGGTCTTCCACTTCTATAGCACATGATACAGTGCATAGCAAACGTTATGTAACCACTAATAATACTCAGGTCCAGTGGCGTAGGTATGGACAGTGCAGTCAGTGCACAGCACTGGGGCCCGAGGCTATTGGGGGCTCATTCAATATGTATAATGATCTAAAAATTTAACTTTAAAAAAATCCTATTCAAACTTTAAAAGGACCCTTCAATAATATTAGGTTTTAGAGGCTATAGTTATTGATTATATTCATTACAATTTACCTATTAGGCCTACCTATTTCCCAAACGCTGCAAGTAAAAAAAAAAAAACAATACTAGCCCTTACGTATACGATGGACTAATATACTTTTTGAAAGCACAATTCTAAAGCAATACAATATCGTCACGCACATTTTGTGTTTGTGGTACAGTATTTTAAAGTTGGTTAAACTATTATAGTGTACGTTTTCAAACACTTCAGATCATCATAACTTCATGAATACATTTTAGATTCAGTTCACTGCAAGTAGGTCGATGACTGTTCTATTACTGAATGGTAATTGTTATCATGGTGATGGAATAGACAATACCTGGATTTGCGTCAGGAGAATCAATTAGGGGCCTCTATGTATTTTGCCCAACCTGTCGTGAAAATGTATTGAATACGGTACTCAGTGCGTGATTCACTAATACACTTTTTGAAATCACATTTCTAAAGCAATAAAATATCGTCACGCACATTTGTATTTGTGGTATTTTAAAGTTGGTTCAACTATTATTGTGTACGTTTTTAAACATTTCAGATCATCATAACTTCATGAATACATTTTAGATTCACTTCACTGCAAGTAGGTCGATGACTGTTCTATTATTGAATAGTAATTGTTATTATCGTGATGGAATATACAATACCTGAATTTGCACCAGGAGAATCAATTAGGGGGGCCTATATGTGTAATTTTGCCCAACCTGTTGTGAAAATGTATTGAATACTCAGTGCGTGTGAAAACACTTGCAAAATATATTTGCAAGTTGTTCTCCAGTGGGACTCGAACCCACATTCTCCAGATCACTAGCCTGGCATCATACCTTTAGACCACGGAGCTTGCACCTGATGGCCAGGGTTGAATTCGAGCTAAAGTAAGCAGCGAGTACTATTTTTGCAAGCGTTTTTACATGTACTGAATATTCAGTACATTTTCACGACGGGTTGGACACAATTCCACCTATATGTTCTATTGATGTTGTCAATATTATAATATATCATAGATTCATGAATTGCTTAATAGGCCCTAAACGATAACATGACTTGACCATAGTTTGTTCTCAATATTCTAACAAAATATTTTTTAGATATTTCTGAGTGTTAATGCCGTACCGTATCTGTTTTAAAAAACCTCAGAACGTATAAGCATTCAGAGTTTCGCCTGAGTAGACCCCACTAGAGGCTCTGTCTCTATGTCCGATCAGGTGCATTTTTACCAATTTTACCTAGGGCCCGGCAGTTATCTATGCCATAG